CTCTTGAGAGTTTTAGACAAGGTCTTGCTAAATTTTCAGGTAATCCCAAACTTGTTATATCCCCACCTCAGCCTCCCAAGTCTTAGGATTATAGGCCTGCAAACCACCACAGCCCTTCTTTTAAAATTACTTTTCTAGAAGTGAAAAGATATAACTTTTCAGAAAAGACTTATTTTTTAAGTAGTTAATTTTACTTTATATACATTGGTGTGAAGGTGTCAGATCCCCTGGAGCTGGACTCACAGATAGCTGTGAGCTGCCATATGAATGCTGCGAACCCCAATTCCAGTGCTCCCTACCACCAAGTCATCTCTCCGGCTACCCCCAAAAGACCATTTTTATGTGTATAGCTGTTATGGCCGTTTTGCCTGCATGTATGTGTGTGTACCACATGTGCTCAGTCCCCAGAAGAGTGTGTTAGATCCCCTGGAACTGGAGTCATAGATGATTGTTAGCCGCCACATGTGTGCTGGGAATCAAGTGTCTTTGTAAACTGCTGAGCCATCTCTCCAGCCCCTTAAAGACATTATCTTAAAGGGTATTACAGTTTGAATGTAAACTGTCCCCCAGAGGCCCAAGTGTTTGACACTTGCATGGAGAAAGTGGGTGTCTGGCCAGTGGCCTTATGGGTTCAGCTCCTTTCTAACCACACTGCTCTGCTGCCTTCCTACTCCACAAAGCCAGGCCACAGACTCTCCCTGCCAGGGGCAGGAACTGCTCCCACTGTCAAGCCCCTTCTACCAGAGACTGTGAGCCAAAGGAAACAGGCCCTCCTTCTCGCCGCTTTTTTTCACGGATTTGGTCACAGGATGAGAACAGTAACTGACACGGAGGCATCACCAAGTGTCATGGGTAGGCCAGCTTAATAAACCCACTTCTTTAAAAACAAAAACACTTGAAGACTTGGGTATTTCTGAAGTTCTTCATGATGTCCTTAAATATCCCACCCCTTAGGAACTGAAGCATCTTAATCATGACATCATACACTAAAGACTGATGATTTAAACGCTACTGGAAAAGTTGATAAGGAAAACTTCACTTTTTTATTTATCGCAATAAAAATAAACAAACTCAGAACCATACAAAGTCTGTTTGCTTCCTTGACTAGTTTCCCCCCTCCCAGTTAAGACAGGATGGAAGGGAGAGTTCAAGGCTAGGAAGGGAAGTTGGTGACAGCTCCTCTGCTTCACGACAGCATTGTCACACACAAACTGCACATCTGCCACCATCTCTGCCAAGCCTTGGTGTTCTTTTTAAGGTGCTCTGACCCACTCTAAATTAAAAAAAAAAGACAAAAAAGGAAGATAAGTGTATGTAGTGGTGGTGTAGGCATGCCACAGTGAGCATGAGGACATCGGAGGGCAACTTCAAGGAGTCAGTTCTTTGGGGATCAAATGCAGGTTACCGGGTATGTATGATCAGCTCACTTTCGTTTGTTTGTTTTAGGCTGTTTGTTTTTTTTTTTTTTTTTTTTTTGGTCTGTTTTTGGAGACAGAGTTTCTCTGTGTAGCTTTAGAGCCTGTCCTGGAACTCACTTTGTAGACCAGGTTGGCCTCGAACTCACAGAGATCCACTTACCTCTGCCTCCCGAACTCTGGGATTAAAAGACGTGCACCACCAATGCCCGGCCATTAACAATGTTTTACATTGAAGTCCAGGCTTCAGTGTAAAGGTAACCCCTCTGTTATCTGAACATTCTGAGATTTTTCTTACTCCCGTGAGAGACAATCACTTTCCAGACACTGGGTCCCTCTGATCTAGTCAGCCCTGATTTGGTCTGCTACTGCCTCCCTTCCACCACTGACTCACCTCGTGTGGGTCCTCATCATCTCTTGTTGGAGCTTGTCCATATGACTTTATTCACAATTTCTTTCCTCTCAGCCCATTCTTTATGCCACGAATAGGGCTAGCTGCTTTGACACCTGCTGATTAAATCCTTTCACCGACTCCCAGCTGAGTTCAGACCTGCATGCTTGCCTATGTGGGACAGCGGTCATCCTACCTGCCCTTACATTTAACATCTTCAGTCCTACTTTTTGCTGTGGTGTGTGTATGTGGAAGCCATAGGTTAATGTCAGGAGTCTTATTAATTTGCTTCTCCACTTAATTTTTGAGACTGGGCCTCCCATTGATCCTGGAACTCTTATTAGTTTGGCTCATATGATTGGCCAGCAAGTTCCAGGGGTCCTTCTGTCTCTGTTCTGGAGTTACAGGTGCGTACCTCAACCAGCTGGTGCTGGGTATCTGAACTCAGGTCCCCACGCTTGTACAGCAAGTACTTTAACCATCTCCCCAGCTCTATAACTTAATCTTTTGAGATGGGGTTTCACTATGTTGCACAGATTGGTATGCTGGCTCAACAATCCTGCTGTAGCTTCCTGAGTGTTAGCATTACAAATGTAAGCCACTATGCCAAATCAGAATTAATGTTTTTGCCCTCCCTGCAAAAGCTCATTTTTTGGTACCCAGGGCTGTGTGGAAGTGGCAGCTCTGCCAAGAGGACCAGTGTTCCTCTTAATTAATTACTACTTATATCTTAGGACAGTGATGAAGGGGAATTGCTCAATTCATTAAGATTGAAGTAGGTATTCCCCCCATGAGTTCTCCCACATTTATACTATGCACTATAATTTTAAGTCTTACTGTGAGATTAGGGCTTGCTGTTTGGATTTATTTTATGTGTATAGGTGTTTGTTTGCATGCATGTCTATGCACTGCCCTGAGGACAAGAAGAGGTCAGATCCACTGGAGCTACTGATGGTTGTGAGCTACTGATGGATGTGGGTTCTGGTAACTGAGCCTGTGTCCTCTGCAAGACCAGCAAGTGCCCTTAATGGATGAGCCATCTTGCCAGCCACATGAGGGTTGTTTTTAATCTCCAGTATGTTTATCATCTATTAATGCTCAAAGCTCTTTTCCCCTCCCTTAAGAAACATTTTATTTGGATGTCTGCTTTAACTGCATGTATGTATGTGCACCATATGCACGGCTGGTGTCTACAGAGACTAGAAGAAGGTCCCAGATTCCCTTATACATAGTTGAGAGACACCATGTGACAGGTCCTCTGAGAAAACAGCAAGTGCTCTTAACCTCAAAGCCATCTCTCTAGCTCCCCTTTCTTCCAATTTCTAAAAAAAATTTTGGTTTTTCGAGACAGGGTTTCTCTGTATTGTTTTGGAGGCTGGCCTGGAACTCGCTCTTGTCGACCAGGCTGTCCTGGAACTCACAGAGATCCACCTGCCTCTGCCTCCCGAGTGCTGGGATTAAAGGCGTGTGCCACCACCGCCTGGCGTTCAATTTCTAAAATTTTTATCTAAATTATTTTGGTTTTTCAAGACAGGGTTTCTCTGTGTAGCCCTGGCTGTCCTGGAAGTCAGTGGTCAGCCTGCCTCTGCCTCTCAAGTGCTGGAACTAAAGACATATGCCACCACATTTTGTCATCTCTCAGTGAAGAACCTGCTATGAGCCACTCACACTTTCTCCTGTATGTGTAATCCCAAAGAACTCATTGGTTTGCCAAGCTGCACTTGGCAGTCATTTCTTTGGTCAGCTGGTGTACTGTCAGTGCAAACAGACATGCCCACGTGCCCCCTAGGAAAACCACACACTGCTGCAAGTCTTCTCCTTCTGGAGGAGAAGTTGTAGCATACTTTTTTGGTATTTCTCAGTTCATCTTTTCAATTCTGAAAAATAAATCATACCAATAAAATGAATGTAAAATTTGGCCTTTAAAAAGCATTACAGAACAAAAAGATTAATCACTAGCTGAAGGTAGCTCCTTGCAGAGAATAGTATAAACTGGGAAGATAGACCAGTTAAGTCACCACATTTCCTCTAAGGACATGCAGCTATCTTAAAACCCCACAGCAGGTTCTATAGAGAACTGTAATAGTGCTCCTGTAATACCGCGTACCAGGCTAGAGTCAAAAGGAAAAAAGATACCTCAAATCTATGAACCCTAAAATATCACTTAAGATGACAACAGAGCCTATGGGAGCAAGCTGCATTTTTTCTTCCAGCATAAATTCTCCTGGCACCTGGCTGGGTAAAAGCACACCCTTGAACATGCTTTCCCTATAAAACTGGTACAGGATTCCCCTGCATGACAGGCAGCCAACACACTGAATCCATCTAGAAACAGATAAAATGTGTTGCCTTTTGAGCAAGTGATCTAGCTGTTATGATAGAAGCTTGCAATACCAGCCACTCTAGAGGCAAAAGTAGGGCAACAAAGCAAGATACCGGAGGAGGAAGACGAAACTTCCTAAAACATAAGGTTCTAACCAAAAAGATTACTCAACAATTTAGTCACCAAAACAATATTAGGTGACCAAAAGTAGCTGAGTACCAGTGCTTTGGGCGGCATCCAACCACTTGAACTTGTTCTTGGCTACTCTAACCATTGAGCAGACTTTATGAGTTTTCCTTGCCACAAGCAAACTCAAAAGCTGTAGCTCAAAGCAAAGTATAAAATGTATCACTGGGATCCCATCCATCACTTACTGGCTACCTGCTTGAAGAAAGGTATTTAAATTTTCTGAACTTCTATTTCTTCACTTATAAAAGAGAGAGAATATGTATTTGCAAGATAGCTGTGCAAACTGTCCACCGTACATACAAGTAACATGGTGCTTGGCATATTGTAAGCAGCTAAAAAGTGGAAGCTATGATTCTCACTGCAGCTGATATACACTGTTATACAAGTCACATTAGATCATGTGCTGATTCTATGGCAAAGTCTCTATGATATATTAGCAGTAACAATTTCTGGAGGCCTCATAAAGTAAAAAAAAAAAACACTTACAGGGCTGGAGAGATGGCTCAGAGGTTAAGAGCACTGTTTCTCTTCCAGAGGACCTGGGTTCAATTCCTAGCACCCACATGGTAGCTCACAAACACCTGTAACTCCAGTTCCAGGGAATCTAACACCTTCACACAGACAAACACACAGAAAAACACCAATGTACACAAAATAAATAAATCCTTTAAAAAAAACTTAATGTTGTCATTAATATGATCTTTAATAAATGGAATAATGCACCATTTTACAGCAAGCCTTTTTAAACCTAAAGAACTGCCTTAAAACTTCCTTTGCCAATGTCTCTGTCTCAATACAATCTTTGTATTTAGGTTTATATATATCAAAGCATTTACTTACACTTATTCATAGAAAACTCTTTAGTGGCTTAATGTCAGCGTTCATAGTGGCATCCATAGATAATACAAAAGAAAGTGATCTGCTTTATTTCATACTCACACTGCTCCATCAAACACAACTTATACAGCATAGCAAGGTCTCAGATGGCTTATACAAAAGCAAATAACTGAAAGTAATTATTCATAAATTCACACACGATATTCTATCTGTAATGTAAGAACAGAATACACCAACAAAAGATACCCGTTAACAAGAAAGAGGGTTCTGAGGAAGAGCCAATATTGTCAGCCTTTCTTTTGCTAAAAAGCATCCTCAGAAATGAATACTCGGTAGCTAATGTTTTTCTTATCCATTCAGAAAAAACACGGCAGCTACACATCTCCATGTTTCAGCTATAACACCCTAAGAGTTAGTGTATTTTACAATTATCCATGTAAGTTCACTTGAAAAATTAGCAACAGAAAATTCAGGATGATTCCAGCTTACACAAACACTTATACAATACAATTTCTATAGAAATGAAGACATGACATACAACATCCCTTAAATAAATAAATGTTACCATGAAAGAAAAAAAGCCACATAAGTCAAGCAACTCAATATTAAATTGAAATCTAATTGCTTTGAATTGAACTTTTTAGTCATTAGTTTTCTTACTCTTATACATCTTTACAAATGTTTCCTTTATATACTTAAGACTGATAACAAGGTAGGGAGCCTGAGACAAGACTGATTACAAATTACTGCTAAGATTTAAATATACAGCAGACCAATTAGAGCTTAAGTTTTTCTGACTTAAAGAAAAATTGTTTGGCTCTGACAGTGTGAAAAACTGCTTACCATAGATCACCTTCTCAAAGCCATCAAGCCATTACTAAAGCTACAGTTATCAGCTCACTCTTACAAGTTTTATAATGCTAATTATCTCTTAAGAAAATTCTATCTCAGAATTACTTTTCCTAAGCTCTGTTATTAAAAAACAAAACAAAATGAAACGAAACATTTGTTCCATCCAGTATAACCACAGAACCAAAAACAGAACATGTTTAACTTGGCTTTTTAACTCCAAGGCTTAAATCTGCTATGACATGTGGCCAATTAGTTGAGTCATGCCTAATATTCAGTAATTACAGAACTGGGCAAGTTTTTATGATTAATGAAATCAAATATCATGTTGATGTGAATTAAGTCAAATAATATGATAACACATTACTACGCAAGAAAAACTTTAAATATATGACTAGATCTAATTGCTTGTTTGCTACCAACCGAACGTTTTCAGTGTACAGATGAAAGGTGCCCTGAGTTTTTAAGTAATACTATGTCTAAAAGTGATTCTAAACCATGAAGATGTTTCTGAAATTTAAAATACAAATAAAACAGGGGGGACTTTTTAAAAAGAAAAAAACAGTCAAGTTGTAATTTCAAGTATAGTCAATTTTCGTTAAAATTCAGTTACAAACTGGACATTTTTTGTTTTTTGTTTTTTTTTTGGTTATTCGAGACAGGGTTTCTCTGTATTGTTTTGGAGGTTGTCCTGAAACTAGCTCTGTAGACCAGGCTGTCCTGGAACTCACAAAGATCCGCCTGCCTCTGCCTCCTGAGTGCTGGGATTAAAGGCGTGCGTCAACAACGCCGGCCACAAACTGGGCATTATAACAAAGCAATTTAGTTCTAAAGATTTTCTCTGCTCCAGATTTGAATGTGGGCTGCAAACCAAGTTTTACAAATGAATGTGTGTGTTTACAATGTTCAGTAGAAACAACTCAAAACACCATAGTAATAACAAAATTGGAATTTAAAAAAGATTCAATAGATTTATTTGGGGCATAATTTTAACATATAGTATAGCCTCTCAAATGTTTACTTTCAAATCTATATGCCTTGAGATAAATTTTAAAGATCTATTCTCTACGCAAACACCCAACTTTAACCACTTATAAAGTTAAATGAAAATTGTTCTAGTCCATTCACTCTATGCTGCAAAAACAACGGTAAGCATTTCAAAAGTGGTCTACAGAGATACAAAAATATCATGGGTAATACCTGATGTCTGTAGGGTCTGCTTTTAATAGTTAATTTTGCATTTTGTGTTTAATATAGTATTTGATATGAAAAAAATGTACAATATTTGTTGTGACTCAATCGTAATACTAAAATTCACTGTGACATAGGTGAGAGTTTAATGAAAATGATACACGATTACATATGCATAGCTTTTTCAGTTCTATCTGTGCAGATATAAAATCATAAAATACACTTTAATAGAAAAATGTAGATAATACAAAAATTAAGTGCTGATTTTTGGGTGGTCTGATGATTAAATCCAATGTCAAAAGGTAACATCTTTAAATTCTATCAAACTACTGTGCTATAAATTAAATGGAGCAATTAATTTGAATATAACATAGAATTTTATGTGCTCTTAAATATAAATAAAGTAATTAAAATAGATTTGAGGAGAAACAGACCTAAAGGAACTAGAAAATTTTTCTGATGAAGTGTTGATTGAGAAGCCTGAAGCCGACTAAAGAGCACTGCAGAGAAGGACAAAGGACCATTTGTTCCCTACTAGGTATGACAGACACTCCAAAGCAAACAAGAGAGACAGAATAGGTAAGAAAAAAACTGTCTTGACATGATTGCAAGCCAGACAGTGGAGGGACAGTCAGCAGAAACCATGAGGGGTTTAAAGAGAGGAACGGCAGGTGTCCGCCTCTGTGGGCACACAGGTGCTGGTGTGCTCCTGAGGACACCTGTAGAGAAGCCTCCTTTTGACAGAATCTTTGTGTGATAGCTCAGGAAGTAACCAGCTAGACAGACATTATCAATGAGCATAGTTAGAAAGGGGTCGTGTAAGGTAGTTTTGGGCAAAGTTTGCATAGTTCATAATCTAAAAACAAAAGTTAAAAATGCAAATTTATCTTCTGGAAAACAAAACCCACCACAACCCACTGCTAGTCAAGGGTGTGAATACTGAAAATAATCATATGTTAAGAGAGATTCCTGGGGTCTGTGGGGGAGTGTTACACACTTCTTAGATTCCTGGGGTCTGTGGGGAGTGTTACATACTTTCTAGAACTGACAGGTTTAAAACATCAACTAGCATGCGTAAGAATCTATCTTTTAAGTTAAGGACATAGAGCAATTATACATTAAAAAAAAATCCATGGGTAGTCATGTAATAACATACACATGACCAATACTAAGTTCAACACACGTTTATAAAACATGGTGTAAAATATAATACAGTATCAAATACTAATAAATGACCCCCAATGAAATATTAATGTCTATAAATATGAAAAAGAAAACAAAACACTTATTTTCTTTCCATTTTAAATGACTAGTTAACAGAAACTAAACATGTAGTATAACAGTTACAACCTATTAGGTATTCTTTGGGATTTAGAAGTCAAACTTGAAAATATTTTAAGTAAAAATATTTGCCAAAATTTGGGATAATTCCTACTATTTGAGTGTTCCTTCTGTATTTTCTCATTCAGAACCAACATACAGTTTCCAGAACTGATACACACACATAAGGAAACTACACCAACCTGCTTTATAAAAAAGGGAATTAATCTTGTAGTTTTTCTACAACTTATTTAGTTCTCTAATTAAACAATTTTTTTAACATTGTTGGCACAGAAATTTTACAGATGGAGTCAAAGGGTTAAGAAGATTAAAAATTTATATTAAACTATTTTTTCCAAATCTACTATGGGATCGTTTTAGGAGTCTCTGTTTCCACAGCTTCCTTCACTTTTCTCTTAAAATTTACTTTGCCTTTAGTTCTGCAATATAAGAATATTAAAAGATAAGTGGGGTGATTTTAAGATGTAGGTTGAATTTTGTACTGAATTAGTAATTGCTTTTTAAGCAATAATGATTACAGACTTTGTTATGATTACCTAACTTCTCAAATCACTAAGGTATCTGGTGTGGGTTACATACAAGCCACAAGTCTGCTGGAGTACAGAGTTACATTACACATCCGTCCATAAAGAATGTAGTCATGTGGATGGATGAAAGAGATATGTAGAAACAGACCTAGAGCTTTATCCCAGGTAAACTTGGACAAATTAATTACTTTCTCCTAATTTTTGTTTCCTTGGTTGTAAAATAATTAAAATATGGTTGCTCTGAAGATGAAAAAAATAGTGTTAACTACATACCAGTTTTTAGTATATGTCCTCACAAATTTCTACAGTAAAAGTGTTTTTTTAATTATACATTTAAATTTTTTAGGATTTTTATTTAAATCATTTTATTCTATACATTAATTCAAATCAAGTTCTTTCTATTACTTAGTTTTGGTATACAATTAGGATTTAAGATTTATTTTTATTTTTTAATTATGTGTACTTTTGTGAGTGTGTTGGGGGATGTTGTGCGTGTCAATGGAGGCCACAAGAGAGAACCGGATGCAGGGAAAGTTGTGAGTTGCCATGGAGCTGCTGTGGACTGAGCTTGGGTCCTCCGTACAAGCACTCTTAACTGCCTTGCCATCTCTCCAGCCCCACAACTGGCATTTTCCTAAGAGAACTGACACTACACTCTGAAGTACTATTAGGATGCTTTTTATAATACTGTCCAGGGAAATATTTTTGAACTGAATGACTTTTATTCAAAAGGCCCAAAATTAAAAAAAATTTTTTTTGGTTTACGAGACAGGGTTAGGTTAGCCCCCAAAATTAATTTTTTATCTGAAATGTTTTGGTTGTTTCACCTTCTAGAGTCAGATAAATAAAGCTAACAAGTAATTTAAGTTATTAAAGGAATTTTTGTGTGCTGTGTATTACAGATTTCAAAATTTATTAAAATGACCTATACTTTCTACCTTTCCTATTTTCTAAGTAGCTACCATATATCAGGGAAAGGAATAAAATGTTTTAAATATATTTGCACGAGATGGGAAGCTCTACTTATTTCTTTTGATCTGGTATATTAATTTTTAAAGGATCTTATAAATGTATTAACCATTAAAGACTGTTGAAAATTCACAATCGACTGGTCCAAATACAAGCTATCAGAATGAAAGACAATTTTCTGATCAGTTGCACCTCAAAGGGTCATTTATTCTCAATGCTTCAAATTGGAGATGGAAGGAATATATATTTTTTTTAATTTAAAGTTGTCCCACAACTGAAAGCACAAAAAATCCTGAAATGCATCTGAAAGCTATTTGGACAAGAGAAAGACACAAGTTGTTACTCAGATAAAAAATAGTGACTATCTGAAAGAAACTGTATGCTAGAAGACAAAAATATATACTAAGAATCTGAGTTTGAAGCCAGCCTGGTCTACTGAGCAAGTTCCAAGACAGTCAGGGCTACACAGATAAACCCTGTCTCAAACTACCCCCCAATACAAAACAAAACAAAACAAGCCATGAACCACAAGAAGGTCAATAAATCACAAAAGGGAGAAAGGGACCCCAGGCATAAATACAATAATCTTAATTCTAGGACTGAGAACTCTAGTCAGCAATCCAGCTGAATAAATGTTTCAAATGCTGTCACATCAAAGAAACACAGCAGATGGCAAGTCAAAGAAGGCTTACACAAGTGAGTCACAAGCACTGTGGACAGGGTACTGGGAAAAGCAGGCTGTCCTTAGTTAAATGGCAAGGGCAGAGAATTACGAATGAGAAAGTGGTGTTCAGGACATGAGAACCACAATCAGAAATTTGGAGATTTGTATTTAACTTTTTTTAACTCCCCTGCAAAAATTTAAGACTTAATCAGATAATGGATATTAAGGGTTCTGAGAATCTGAAAACACGAGAACAATTTGTTTGCAAACTGGCAGCAAACAATGTTTAGGGAAAATTCCCATATTTGACAGAAAGTGCTTTATTAAAAGACAGAGAGCCTGTTTAAGAGATCATTAGTAACAAAAGAAGCAAAGGGAGTGTGATAGTGACTTCACTGGTATGGTATCACTAGCATGCTCTGCTACCACATAAATAATAAATCCTGCTCAAAGTAGATCATGTGAAACTGGTAAGAGGAGAAATTATGAAAATAGGATTAGCAAAGAAAGTTATTGAAAGAAAGAGGGTAAATCTTAGTCTGTCCAACAGTCTTAGATTCGGCAGCAAGCCCTTCTTCCATGGGATTGGGCATGCTGGTTGACTGAGCTTTCCACACAGTGTTTTAGGTCATGGGAAGAGGAATCGTTTTCACATAAAGCTGACAGGCTTTGCTGGGAAACAATAAAAGATACTATGAATTCAAAACTATGAGTTTTCTGGAGTTATTATAAATAGGAAATGTAACTTGTGATGATCAGAAAATCAAAGTTCCTATACTACATCACCTTGCCCATCTACTTACTTAAAAATTCCATGTAAGTTTAGCTCTATATATTTTCTGATAAAAAGTATTTCTTAAATAAATGAATATGGAACATGAACATACATAGAAAAATAAAATGGAAAACGATAATATTTGCTTTCTTCTGTTTTGTTCTATGCTCTCTTATGAACTTCCAAAATCAGAACCAAATATACTTACTAAAATGCCTGGAAGGAAACACTTAGTATTTGGAAGGTTAAAAGACAATGGCATTTCAAAAAAGGTTTTGGTAAGTCCTTTTTGGAGCCCTTTGGACAGTGTCTATGCATTCTCCCTTAGGAAAAAGCAAGAAAATGTTCCTATTATTGAAGAATGGGGGAAATGTCTCAACAGTGGAAGAACGTGTGCCCTGATAGGAAGAGAGCTGGTAAGAAAGCTTCGTTGTGGTCTAAAGACTATTGCACATTCAAACAAAATACAAGATAGAAGAATGTCCAACAGATAATATGTTCAAAAACATATCAACATATAAACTAGCTTGTGCCCAGAAATAAAACATGGATACCAGACACCACTGCAGTTGAACCTGCCTTAATTTGCTTCTGTTTTAATGACCTTTAGAAAATGGTCCAAACTGATTATCAGCAATACATTGTTTTTGCTTTTTTCTTAAAAAAATATTTTGAGACCACTTTTGATATGCACACATATAATGTGGTCATAACAGACAAATATAACTTTAGCAAGACTAAACAAAAGTGCAAAACTTAAAAAACAAAATTAAAAAATATGGAAGCATAAGCTAAAATTTTCTGCATAGCTGAAATCTATTTAAAGCAAGTCCTTGTTGCAGGGGTGGGAAGGGTGCTGACAGGAGGTTAAAGCAGTTTTTTTTTTTAAAATGTCTTCTGCATGTTTAAATGATGCAAAAAAATAATTTCACTCCATAGGCTTGAAAACATCTCACAGACAATTCATCCCTATATCTTTAGACACCATGGTTGTGGCAGTGCCTCCTTCTGCAAGGTACACAGCAGTGCTAGACTTAGAATGAACTGCTCTGTCTCTACCATTGTTGTTGACCTCACAGTCCAGTGGTTCAGTGGAGATGACCCAGGTGGAGGGGCGCCACCGCTTAAGAGAATATGGCGTTTTCACACGTCTCTTGATCTTTTCACCTGATCCCGATTTGCCATCTTGTGTTGACTCACCTACTGAAAATAAAAGTACAGGAAATGAGCTGCAGGAAAGAACAATACTTAGAAGTAAAGGGTTATCTGGTTATGTAATGCAGTTGACAGAGTGCTTGCTCGGTGTGTACAAGGCCTTGAGCTCAATCCCAGCACCACATAAACCTTGGTGGTGGTGCTTATCTGCAATCCTAGCACTTTGGAAGTGGAGGCAGGAGGATCAGAAGCTCAAGACTAACCTAGACTCCACAGTCATATACAAGCCAGTCTGAGCTATATAAGACGCCCCTCCCCAAAGACAGGGTTTCTCTGTGTAGCTCGTAGACCAGGCTGGTCTCAAATTTATAGAGATCTGCCGGCCTCTGCCTCTGCCTCCCGAGTGCTGGGACCGAAGGTGTGCACTACCACCCCCCCAATATGTAATATTTTTAAGAAGGATGAACATTTCCCCATAATTCTCTGTTCTTATATTTGACAAGATGCTTTATGGAGACAGAAGCAAGCAGGGTGTGTCAACTAGCTTGTAATATAAACCACTCAAGTAATGGGGTTAGGTTTTCTTTTTTCTTTTTTTCTTCTTTTCGAGACACTCACTCTGTAGACCAGGCTGACCTCATCAAACTCAGAGATCTTCTGTCTCTGACTCCTGAGTGCTGGGATTAAGGGTTTGTGCCACCACTCCCTAGCTTAGATTTTCTTCTCTTTGTTGTGCTGGAGACTTAAACCTGGCCCTTGTGTATAGTGGACAAGTATTTTACCTCTGAGCTACATGTACAGTCAAGGGGCTAGATATTTACTGTTTTGAGACCTTGTTTCAGCCCATTCTGTAGTTTAAGAAAGCATAAGACATGACTCGTTTTTCTTTCATAAATACAAACAAAAAGAAATCATTTTATGTAATAATGACTATTTAGAGATTCTGGTGAGCTTTCCTGTCATGGGCTGTAATTCTGTTAGGGCAGGACACCAAGCAGCAGCTTAACTATCTAGGTTCCACCCCAAGTACGACTCTGTTTAGTGTATGAGACTCAATAAAAAATGACTTTCTGAAACTTCTCTTGACTTTTATGACTTACTGAGATCTGGGTATGGTGGCACATGCCTTTAATCCCAGCACATCATGAATTTAAGACTATCTTGGTCTATATGGCAATTTCCAGGGCATCTAGTACTACATATAGAGTCCTTGTCTCAAATAAGCAAACAAACACTAAATACATATAAAGACTAAGTTAAAACTAAATGTAGATTTAACATATTAATATGTTTCAGAAATAAAAGTGGCAATAATGTTGTTACTTGGTGCTCTGACACTAATAAGTACTGATTTAATCTCATTTGTCATAAAAGTATGTGAACCACATCATAAAAAATCCATCAAGTAAAACAGACTAAGTAATTTTTCTGACTATTGTGATACTAGCTAATTATCAATGACCAAAAAGGAGGGGAGGGGGAAAAAGAGAGAAAGAGAGAAAGGTCCACTTTACAATAATGTAATTACTTCTGAGGCCCAGTCACTTTGTCTCTGGAAGTGCTTAAAGGTAAAGAATCCTAAAGGACACTCCATGATCCCTCCACTTACTCTGTATACTGCTGCCATCCAGGACATTTGTGGCTGAAAGATCCAGAGAATTGGGCCTCTGTGCTCTTCTGGGCTTTGTTGGCCCAGGATCTGCAACTGTGCTTGTAACACCCTGTGTAAGTACATCTTGTTCTGAACATGGATTGCTGTTGTTGTTATTGGAATTAGTTCGGCCACCTTCTAGTGGCCGTTCCCTCCTGTCTACCAAACGATCCAGAACCCCTTCATCATGGCCAGCTTGTTGCTCTCGTCTCAGTAAAGGTTCATGCTCATCAGGACTGGAATTGATATTCAGTCGGGTATCCTCACCAATAAATTGGTTCTGCAGCATTTCTTGAGCCCTATGTGCCACTATGTTAGCTGCCTGGCCAGAAGGCACTGCCCCATTGGCATACTGGGTTGTGGCAGTGTGGGAATTAACACTGTGGCTTCTACCTGCAACACCATTCATAGTTACTGTCACCACATGAGGTTCTGCTGCATTGATTGTATTCATCTTAGCAACTCCAGTTTCTACTTGTTTCAAGTTTGATTTGTGCTTGTTGCCAAATTTTAGCCGGGGTTCTTTTGTTGAATTTTTGGTGTTCAAAGGCAAACTAGTAGGTCTTTTAGGAAGGTTCTGCTGCTTAGGGAGAGGATAGATTTGAGCAGGTGGAACATCAGGAATTAAACATGCTTGGCCATTTGCAGTCTGTGTGAAATCCTGCTGTCCAGTCACTTCCACCGCAAGCTTTATGAGTGGATAGAGCAAGCTGGAACTGGTACTGCTCAAAGGGTCTGGCCCACTGAACTGCTTAAGAGAGTGTTCCATGAGGTTCTCATCAGAGCTCTCCTTGAGGTTCTTATCAACTTCTTTTGGGTCTAGCTTATTGGTCTCCAAGTCTTCTTCTGTCAGCTGTAAGCAGACAGGGGTTGGCCCCATTGACTGTGCAACATTTGTGGTATGCAAATTTGTTTCATCTGGGTACGGCATCTCAGATATAGTGGTCATGCCAGTACTTGGAGTGAGGCCAGTGGTGTTTGTGGTGGTTGTGTTTGTGGACAGGCTGGTGACACTTGTTTCAGGGCTGGGAATTCGAGCTTGTGCTTGCTGTCGTTCATAATTAATTGAATTCCGGTTCTTTTCTCCTATAGTCAAAGGCGTGCTGGACATTGAATGCTCAGAGGAAATATTCTTCACAATGCTGTCAGTGTGATGTATGGAGTCTTCAATATATGAGGAAGAAGAATAATCGGGATAAGGCCCAATTTTTGGCACACGCCTATTATGTGATAGGTTGCTTGAAGAAAGAAAAAAAAAGGTATGGCAATGAGAACATAAACTTAAGACAATTATCTATTCTAAGTAAACACCACTGATTTCAAAGTTCAACTGTTTCTCCCCTACCCCCAGACAAGGATTCTCTGGCAGTCCTAGAACTCGCTCTGTAGACTCGGCTGACCTAAACTCACAGAGATCTACCTGTCTCTGCCTCCCACATGCTGGGATTAAAGGTGTGTTCCACCACCTCCCAGCTTCAACTACTTTTTATTTTATACTTTGCATTCTTTTATTGCACTTATTTACTTAATATGTATGGGTGCATGTAGAGGTCAGAGGTCAACTTGTGGGAGTCAGTTCTCTTCCAACACATGGGTTTCAGGAATCAAACCAGGTTGTCAGGTTAGCAGTAAGCACTTCACTTGCCAAGGCATCTTACTAGCTCTGTTTTACTCTTAACTCATATTTAAGAGGTTACTTCAAAATCCTAATAAGTGCTAACAGCTTGCTGAATACAAATTTTATTGAGTTTTTTTTCATGAAATCTATAACATTACGTGAAAAGTCTATGGTTCTAGATAGATTTTGTTTATGGATGTTCATTATTTTGGCTTACAAGAGTTAATTCAGGGGCCGGAGGGATGATTCAGTGGTTAAAAGGCCCAGCTGCAATATGATTCCTAGCACCTACAGGACCGCTCACAAATGCATGTAATTCCAGTCCCTGGAGACCCACTGCCATCTTTAGGCCTTGGCAGGCACTGCAGGAACACGGAGCACACACATTCACACACTCATCTACATAAAATAAAAATAAATTCTCTAGCTGTGTGGTGGTTGTACGCTTTTTAGTCACAGCACTTGGAAGGCTGTGGCAAGTGGATCTCTGTAGTTCAAGGCCAGCCTGGTCTACAGAGAAAGTTCCAGGGCAGACTCCAAAGCAATACAGAGAAACTCTGTGTCGAAAAACCAAAAGAGAAAACAACAACAACAACAACAACAAAAAAAACCAAAAACAAACCCAAAAAATTCCACCTCAAAAAATACATAAAAGAGTTAATTCTAAGTCTCTCCTCGGGTGGTGGTGGTGCACACCTTTAATCCCAGCACTTGGGAGGCAGAGGCAGGTCAATCTCTGAGTTTGAGACCAGCCTGGTCTACAAGAGCTAGTTCCAGGACAGCCTCCAAAGCCACAGAGAAAACCTGTCTAGAAAAAAACAAAAAACAAAAAACCAAACAACAAAAAAAACCTAAAAAAAATCTCTCCTATAGTTTTATAATATCAACAAATACACTTCTTATGAATTATATGCTTATACAAGTAACACTGTTTTGTAACTAGAGGAACCATGGGATACATTTATTTTGTATTCCTGTAACACTAGGCCCAATAGTATATGAACAACAAATATGTCATAAATTAGGTTCAAATAATTAAGTGATATTTTCAGCGTTGGTGGCGCATGCCTTTAATCCCAGCGCTGGGGAGGCAGAGGCAGTTGGATCTCTGTGATTTCAAGGCCAGCCTGGTCTACAGAGCGAGTTCTAGGACAGCCTCCAAAACAATACAGAGAAACCCTGTCTCAAAAAACAAAACAAAACAAAATTTTTTGTTCATTTTTCCATAACCTCTTCATTTAAGAAAGAGGCACAGACTAACAATGGAACATACCTTCCTGTGGTAGCTACTATCAGTGTAAGTGGTAGAGCTAGGATATGAGGCATAAGATGACACTCGGATAAAGGAACAAAAAGATGAATGGCCAATAGCTAGGCAGGAGAAAGAACAGGCAGGGCTGGCATGCAGAGAGAATAAGTAGGAGGAGAAATCTAGGGGAGAGAGTAAGGATCAAGAAAAGGAGAAGGAGAGGAGGACACCAGGGGCCAGCCACCGAGGCACACAGCCAGCCACAGAGTAAGAAGGAAAGCAAGATAGGTAGAATAAAGAAAGGTTAGAAAGCCCAGACTCAAAACGTAGTTAAAGAGAAACAAAATAGATTAAGCTAGAAAAGTTGGCTAGAAATAAGACAAGCTAAGGCTGGGCATTCACAAGTTAGAGTAAGTCTCCATGTATTTATTTGGGAGCTGGGTGGCTGGCCCCCAAAGAGCAAAAAAAAAAAAAAAAAAAAAAAATCAACTGCAAATCAGGACTTCTCTTCAGTCACGAGGTGCACAACTGACACCATCTTTCCTGGGAAATGACAGCTCTGGACTATCGTGCTGTTATGTAATTATTTAAAATCTCATTACAGAAAACATTAGGGACAGCCTTCACTGAAGTGATCAAGTACTGGGAACATTCACAGATGAAAGCATTATAGAAGAGAATCGGCTGAAGGAAAAGAGGGTCCATAAAAGAAGACTGGTGTATTACAAGGGAATGACAGCAAGGCAAAGGAAAGGCTGTTACACACTCATGAAAAGGGAAGCTGAGGGGATAAGGAGAGGTTAAAGCACAATAAGAGGAAGTCTACATACAGTGTAAATGATTATTGAGTGAACTGTCATTTAAGAGAAATCTAGGAGAGACTGGAGGTGAGAAGAGCCATTGCAAGTAGACGTGACTCATTGGGGGGGAAACAAAATAGATCCATGGGGTTTCTTTTTATCATTCAAAAAATTCAAAAGTATTTTTTTCCTTTTTTCAAGACAAGGTTTCCTGTAGCTTTGGGTCCTGTCCTGGAACTCACTCTGTAGACCAGGCTGGCCTCAAACTCACAGAGATCTGCCTGCTTCTACCTCCTGAGTGCTAGGATTGAAGGCTTATGCCACCACCGCCCAGCAACTCAGAAGTATTTAAAGTAGGAGCTTGTGGTGCACACCTTTAATCACAGGACTCAGGAGGCAGAGGCAGGTGGATCTCAATGAGTTTGAGGCCAGCCTGGTCTACAAAGCTACACAGAGAAACCCTGTCACGAAAAACCAAAAGGGAGCTTAAACTGATTCTTTTTTATAAAGACTTTTAAATTTCATCTGTTTCATGTATCTGCCTGCAGATGTATGTGTGGACCATGTTCATGTGTGGTACCTATGTAGGTAAGAAGATAGAGTTGGACTTCCTGGAATTAGAGTTACAGATAGTTAGGAACCACCATGTGGGTGGGTGCTGGGAACTGAACCAGGGTCTTCTTTTTTTTTTTTAAACATTTATTTTTATTTCATTTGCATTGGTGTCTTGCCTGCACCTATGTCTGAGACATTGGATCCCCTGGAACTGGAGTTACAGACAGTTAGTTGTGAGCTGTTATGTGGGTGCTGGGAATTGAACGTGGGTCCTTTGAAAGAGCAGTTGGTGCTCTTAACCACTGAGCCATTTCTCCAGCCCAAACCAGGGTCTTCTTAAAGTGCAACAAAGACTCTAACTGAGCCATCTCTCTAGTCCGTTCATCTGACTCTCGACAGACATATAAACAGCATGTTTTACAGATTATGGAGCAGCAGAGATACAGAATGAAGATGGAAGCAGAAGACTTTTCTAACCCTTGTAAAGTGAGAGCACTTCTATTTAGACCAGCTAGTCTCTTTCTACTCTCCTTGATTTGTGATATGCAAGACACACAGCTGAGGCTCTTTCCACCTATTTATAAGCAGTACAAACAGCACACAATACAAATTGTTGTTAGAAAGAACATAAAATAGAGGAGAAAAGATTTAAGGATGAAATATACTTTTATTTTCATGTCCCCTGGTAATATTTTTCCTGTATGTCTTTTCTGAAACTGTTTGTTTGTTGTTGTTTTTGTTTTTCAAGACATGATTTCTCTGTGTAACAGTCCTGCCTGTCCTGGAACTCACTTTATAGACCAGACTGGCCTCAAACTCACAGAGATTCGCCTGCTTCTGCCTCCCAAGCGCTGAGATTAAAGACATGTGCCATGACAGTCCAGCTTTTTGAATCTTTTAAATATGTATTAGATAAAATACTAAAGTTGTTATTTTTACTACCAAACACAGAACCAAGAAATATAGTTTATCTGTTTACAAGTGCCTAAGTATAGGGACGTTTTGGCTTTTCAACTTTTGAGACAGGGTTTCAGTCTGCAGCCCAGACTGGCCTGGAACTCCTCATATAGTCTAAGATGGCCTTGCACCTTTGACAATCCTTTTGCCTCAGCCTCCAAGGTCTGAGATGACAGGTATGAACTACGAGTTTAATTTCTTCCAAAAGTCTTTTTTGGGCCGGGCACTGGTGGCACAGTGTTCTACCTGCATATATTCCTGCATGCCAGAAGAGGGCACCAGATCTCATTCAGATGGTTGTGAGCCACCCACCATGGGGGTGGCTCTTAACTGCTGAGTCATCTCTCCAGCCCTAAATTCTTTTTTTTTTTTATGTTTATTTTTATTTTATAGGAATGGGCATTTTGTCTGCATACCACATATGTGCCTGCCAGAAGAGTTAAAGCCCCTGGAACTGGGATTTGACTTAGTAGTGAGCCAACATGTGGGGGCTGGGAATTGAACCTGGGTCCTCTGCAAGAGCTGCCAGTGCTCTTAATCCCTAAGCCATCTCTCCAGCCCTAAAAAGCCTCCTTACTTTGGATTTAAATTATAGTTCTAACAAAGGAAATGTCTCATAAGACCATATTCACAATGGAGTAGAAAGAAGTATTAGTGTGTTCTTTAAGGGAGATTATTGGAGAGGCAGTCAGAAAGTCCTAGTGTGCAGTGAAACAGCAGCAGCTATCCAGGCAAAGCCACAGTTCTGCATGCTTTAAGAAATAAAAGAACACTAATGAAAAAACAAGAGATATACCATATAATATATGTAGAAGCAGTTATAAAGTTTTTAAAACTAGGAAAATATTTTACCTTTACCATTAAAGGCAAGTTACATTAACCAACCCCTCACCCTGTTTTTTCCCCCTTTTGGTTTTTTGAGACAGGGTTTCTCTGTGTAGCTCTAACCATCCTGGAACTTGCTCTGTAGACCTCAAACTCAGAGATCCAAATGCTAAAAGTGAGTATTACCATGATTGGCTATTAAAGAGTAATTTCTTTTACTGTATCTTTAGATATAAAATTACAGATTCTGCCTTGTATTCATATCAAATAAATATTTTCAGTACAAGAATGGAAATATAGAGGGGCTAAAGAGAAGGCTCAGTGCTTAAGAGCATGTGCTCTTTTTGTACAGGACCTGAATTCAATTCACAGTGCCACAGCTCACAACTGCCTAAAATCCCAGCTCTAGAGGGATCCCATGCCTCTGTCCTCCAGACATCTTAAAAAGACTGGGAATACTGAAAGGAAATGATACCCTTGTACTATATGAGCTAACACACTATTAGGCTGTCTAGCAGTGTTTACTTCTTGTCCTTTACTTAGTTTCAGTTGCCAACACCATGTGATAGCCTGCAGGGTCTTACCGTTCATTCTGCATGGCAGTAGACATTGGGTTGACTGTTGGGCTCACAGACTTGTTTCTCTCCCATATCATCATAAGTTCAGCCATTCTCTCCTCAGCACACTGTGCAGTGAGCCGAGCCTCTGCATCCTGGTCCCAACAATCTTCGATCGTTTCCTTGAGTGATCTCACTGCCTGTAACACAAAATAGACATCAGACAACATGCTGTTTTTAACTGTATTTAGGATTTTAAATTTAAAATATGTCAAAGAAAATCAGGTTTTATATGTGTGTGTATATGTATGCATGCATTTTTGTTTGTTTGTTTGTTTGGTCCTTTTTTATTTCTTTTTTAAGACAGAGTTTCTTTGTGAAGCTCTGGCTATCCTGGAACTTACTATGTAGACCAGGCTGGTCTCCAACTCAAAGATCTACACCTTCCTCTGCCCCTGAGTGTTAGGATCAAAGGCAGTCACCATGCCAGGCTCCAAACTAATTTTTAAAAAAATATGCTGGAGGAGGGTTAGGGATGGTGCATGCCTTTAATCCCAGCACTTGGGAGACAGAGGCAGGAGGATCTCTGTGAATTCGAGACCAGCTTGGTATACAAACTGAGTTCCAGAACAGCCAGGACTATTACACAGAAAAATCCTGTCTCAAAAAACCACAATAAATAAGTAAATAGATAAACTAAAAAATTAGATATTTTGAATGTTGCAGTAGCAAAAAAAAAAAACAACAAAAAACAAACTCATCTTAAGTATTACATGGTGTTATGTATTCTCTCTCTCTCTCTCTCTCTCTCTCTCTCTCTCTCTCTCTCTCTCTCTCTCTCTCTCTCTCTCTCTCTCTCTCTCTCCCTCCCTCCCTCCCTCCCTTCTCCCTCCTGATCTTGTGACTGACTTGTATTAGGGCCCTCCTTTAATCTATTTTAAGTTTAAAGCTGAAATGAAGCATACTTAACTAGATGTAATATACTAAAAAATAAGACGAATCTGTATAGCCCTGGATGTCTTGAAATTCACTGTATAGACCAGGCTGGTCTCAAACTCAGATATCCACCTGCCTCCGTCTCTTGAGTGCTGGGATTAAAGATGTGTGTCACTATGACCAGCTCCTTACTTTATTATTTTTTATAATGCTTATTTATCTATTTGGGTTTTAGGGACTTAATTAAGCTCCATCTATAGCCCCAAATGTCTAGTTTCAAACAAAAAGAAATTACAAAGGAAGCCCACCCACCCAGTACAGTGCTATACTTGAAATTTTGGGACGTAGAGGCAGGAGGATCAGCAGTTCAAGGATATTCATTTTTTTAAAGTGGGTGTTTTTTTTTAAGATTTATTTATTTATTATGTATGCAGTATTCTGGCCTGCAGGCCACAAGAAGGCACCAGATCTCATTACAGATGGTTGTGAGCCATCATGTGGTTGCTGGGAATTGAACTCAGGACCTCTGGAAGAACAGCCAGTACTCTTAACCACTGAACCATCTCTCCAGCCCTCAAGGATATTCTTAATCCTAGAATTAGTTCAAGACCAGACTGGGATACAGGGATCCTACCTAAAAACAAACAAAAAAGAAAAAAGAATGCAAAGAAACAAGAATGTATTATATATTTACAGGAAAATAAATAAAATCTTAACAGAAATTGAAGTACAGACATTAGAGGTATCAAAAATTTCAAGTGAACTACCTTTAATATGCTCAAGGAACTAAGAAAACAATGGGTGAAAAACTAAATGTAAGAAAACAATTTTTTTCTTTTTTAGTTTTTCAAGGCAGGGTTTCTCTCTGTGGCCCTGGAAGTCCTAGAACTCACTTAGTAGACTAGGCAGGCCTTGAACTCAGAGAGACCTGCCTGCCTCTGCCTCCTGGCTGCTGGGATTAAAGGCATGTGTCACCATGCCTGGCCTTAGAAAACAATGTTTAAAGAATTTATTTATTGGAGATAGACAGATGAGAACTGAACCCAGATCTGCTGCAAGAGCAGCAAGTACTCTTAACTACTGACCTTCCTCTTCAGCGCTCCCACCCTAAGACAGTAATGTTGTAATAAACAGAGTGGCAATAAAAGACATTTTTTAAAAAGACTTAAAATGACATTTTAAAGCACAATAGCAAATATCAATATTAATCTGAGTGGTTCAACATCAGATAATAAGCAGACAGAAGAAAGAACCTGTGAATTTGAAGATGGAGTAACAAAGTTATTCTATCTGAGAATAGAAGTCAAAAGAATGAGGAAAAAGTAACAGAAACCAGACTTCTGAGAAGTAAGTCCCAGCACAGGAGCAAACATACTAAATACACAAGACAAGAGTTCCAGAAGGGAAAGTGAAAAGGGCAGGAGAAATACATGAGCACATGATATGAAATTCAAGTTTATCCATATACCCAAGAAACTTGATGAACTCTAGCTAGGATGACTCTCATAGCTCCATGATAAGACAACTTACAATTGAAGTGCCATAAACCAAAGCTGAACAGAGATCCTGACAATGAGGAACTAAAACAACGACTCTGGTAAGATCAACAGCCATTGGAAACCAGAAGGCACAGGTATGGCATATTTAAGCATTGAGATAGAAAACAATTGTTAGCCGGGCGGTGGTGGTACACGCCTTTAATTCAAGCACTCGGGAGGCAGAGGCAGGTGGATCTCTCTGTGAGTTCGAGGCCAGCCTGGTCTACAAAGCAAGTTCCAGGACAGCCTCCAAAACAATACAGAGAAACCCTGTCTTGAAAAACCAAAAAAAAAAAAAAAAAAAAAAAAAAAAAAGAAAGAGAAAACAATTGTTAAGAAGAATTACATATTGAGTATGAAGAGATGGCTCAGAGGTTAAGTGCACTGACTGCTCTTCCAAAGGTCCTGAGTTCAATTCCCAGTTATCAGATGGTGGTTCACAGTCATCTATAATGACTGGTGCCCTCTTTTGGCATCCAGGCATGAATGGAGGCAGAATATGTAATAAATAAACAAAACAAAACAAAAAAAAGAATTACATATCACCAGACATTGGTGGCACATGCCTTTAATCCCAACACGAAATCTCTGTGAGTCTGAGGCCAGTCTGGTCTACAGAGCTAGTTCCAGGACAGCCTCCAAAACAATACAGAGAAACCCTGTCAGGAAACACCAAAAAAGATATATAGAATCTGGGTAAGTCACTGAGTAGACATGCCCTGTAAGAAAGTTAAATGGGCCTCTCCACACTGAAATGTAAAAGGTAATTACAGATAACTATAAGAGTCAATAAGTTGTTTTGGTTTGGTTTGGTTTTTGGTTTATTTTGAGACAGAGTCTCACTATGTAGCTCTGGTATCCTGGAATTCAATCACTGTATAGACTAGGCTGCTCCCCAACTCACAGAGATCTGTCTGCCTCTTTCCCAAGTGCTAGACAGAGAAAGAATGCCACTAAGCCCACCTAAACAGCATTTAAAAAAAACAGCTCTTCCTTTCTTAAAAGAATTAATAAAACTTCAGTCATTTTAATAAAGTAGAGCTAGGGAAGAAGTGTATAGTTTATTAAAATGACTGCACAGAAATCTTTTTTTGTTGTTTTTTTGGCTGTACCTTATCAAGTTTAAATGGATTTGTTGGAAGTAAACCAAATATTAAAAATCCCTTACTTAGCAACTTCATTTCAATCAGAAGTAAAGAGTTTTCAGGTAAATCTGCATATGTTGCATATCCCACAATGGTATGGCTGCCAACAAATACTTCAAAAGATTACATCTTAGTTGTTGTAGTGAAATAAAACAATTTAAGGAAGATGAAAAGGTCAAGTTGCAATTTCTTATAACAAATTCTCAGATTTCATAGACAGTTTTCTATGAGGTCGGTCAGTAGCTTTGGGGAATCCTGGTAGAGTACAGTTCATGCTCTCACCTACTATCTAGGCTGCTTAAGGAACTGCCCAAGTTTGCATAGCAAAAACTGCAATTTGGAAGCAATCGTGTATGAATTTAACAAGCTCTTCAACAGCCACATGCTTAAAAGATTCTACTCTCATTTGGAACATAAGTTAGCTTTGAGATGAATCTATTAGCAAAGACGACCAATAAGATAAAGTTCAATCTATCTGAATGGAAATACACAGGGTCTCTCTATTCTATTCTGATATGACACAAAGGAAAATATTCTATTCTGCTGAGGTGATCTGTAACTGGGATAGGAAAATAGATAGAAAATAATAGTAAAATGATTTAAATTACTAACACATAAATCATCATGGTAGCAGCATGTATACTTCAGAGGTAAAGGAGGAGTTCAGTTATCCTCAGCTATGAAGTTAGTATGGACTCATGTAGCCTTGTTTCCCAAACAAAAAAAGAGTGGGAAATACAAGAAAGAAATTCAGACTTGGAATGTCAGGTGATTAAATATTGGTTTAATGAAAATTCACCTGCCTCTGCCTCCCGAGTGCCGGGAATAAAGGCATGAGCCATCAACACCCAGTCTTTGACAATGTTTTACACTGATGCCCAGGATGGCCTTGAACGTGTGATTCTTTTTGCCTCGCCCAGTAGTAGGGTACAGCAATGAATCACCATAGCTAGGTGGCTTCTATTTTTGCTTCAAGAACATTTAGATTAATCTAGTTCTAGTCAGAAGTCCTTGTTTTCTTACCAAGCTATTTTCTTTCCAGGCTTCTGGGAACTTGGGCCTCTGCTTTTCTCTTGACACAAGAACCTGCATATCCTCAAAAGTGGGATGGTTGCCAACTTCTGTCTGAAAAGCCATCTGGTATTCTGGTACAGATTCACCTGTGTATTTATAGAAAGAATAATAGAATTTCTAGTTATCATAGAGGACAAAATAGAAGAGGTATTTCCAGTATCAAATAGGCATAGAAATCATAAACATTAAACCCTTTCAAGCATACATGCAAATTACAGAGACTTTATTGTTGCTTTGGTGTATTGTTAATATTTAGAACAGTCTCAGTTTTACTGATAAATGAAATAGTAGTTTCAATGCCATACAGATATTTTACTTAACTTATTCTTTGGTGTTGGGGATCAAACTCTAAGCCTTAAACATACAAAGTACATACTTGAATACTGAGCCTTGTTTGTTTGTTTTGGTTTTTCAAGGCAGGGTTTCTCTGTGTAGTTTTGTAGTACAGGCTGACTTCGAACTCAACAGAGATCCGACTGCCTCTGCCTCCCAATGCGCTGGGATTAAAGGCATGTGCCACCACTGCTCGGCAAGCATTGTTTTTAAATGCAGTGCAGTATTCTAATAATTTGGGCTCTGCTGCATAGATTATAAAAACATACAATTATATATACTCTGATAGAGGGGAAGAATATATGGGTTGTTTTGTCTATTCAAATAGAAATAAAATCTTGTCATGTTTTACGGAGTTTTGTCAACTGGGTTATTATAACTCTTTTTATTGTTGTGCCAGTGAGATAAGGAAGGCAGACATTACTATTTTGCTGACAGGAAGATTGAAACATATAAGACTTAAGTGACTTTTCCAAGGACGAGATGAAGCCAAGATTAGAACCAAAATGCCCTAACCTCCATCCCTTCCACCTCGTTATTTTAATACATTAGAGTGGTGGTGAGGAGCCAGGAAGACTGTAGCTCTCTTGTGTCCTTTGCCAAGATTCCTGGCCTACAGTGGTTCTCTACATGTGGGCCTCAACCCATGTGGCAAGCCTCTATTTAAAAAAATATTTATATTATAATTCATAACAGCAAAAGTACAGTTATGAGGTAGTAACGAAAATAATTTTATGGGTAGGGGTTACCACAATGTGAGGGGTTACCACAATGTGAGGGACTGTATTAAAGGATTACAACATTAGGGTTGTTGGGAGACACTGCTGTAGGCCATTGGATTTTATGTATTAGTTTTATGGGGTCTTCTGTATAGCTCGGTACATTTTATTTATTTATTTATTGGTTTATTTCAAGGCTGGATTTATCTGTGTAGCCTTGGCTGTCCTAGAACTTATTCTGTGGACCAGGCTGTCCTTGAACTCAGAGATTAACCTTCCTCTGCCTCCCTAGTGCTGGAATTAAAGGTGTACACCACCACTGCCCAGCTTCAGTATGTTTAAAAATACTTTATCACATTTTGTAAAAGTCAGAAGTATTTCATCATAAGCAGCAAATTGTACCTATTGATGGCACACACAATTATCAAATACCGGTAGAATACATAGTGATGCTGTAAAATTCTAGATTTAAATACTGCTTCTTTTTTTTTTTAATTTTATTTTCCAGTTTAAATTTAGAATAAGAATCAAGGTTGCTTCACAAGTCAGTTCCAGGTCCCTCTCCCATTCCCTCCCTTCCTCCCGTGCCCTCCCCCCCCCCATTATCCTCTCATTTCTCCAGGGAGGATGAGGCCCTCCATGGGGGTGTCCATAGTCTGTCATTTCATATAGGGCAGGGCCTAGACCCTTTCCCAAGAGTTCTGGGTGAGAGTGCACCTCACATTGTTCTATTGGAGTCCAAAGTCCGTGTATATACTTGGGATGGGTACTGATCTGCTGCCCAAGGCTCAATAGATTCCCTAGGCCTCTTCACTGACACCCAGATTCAGGGGGTCTTGATCAGTCCCATGCTGGCTTCCCAGGCTAATTCTTTAGTGTTGGGGATCAAATTTAAGGCCTTAAACATTCTAAGTATACTATATAACACTGAGCCCTGGACAGCTTTTTCATTTCTCTTTCTTTCTTCCTTTCTTTTTTTTTGGTGGGGGGGGCAGAAGGGGGACTTCCGAGACAGGGTTTTTCTGTGTGGCTTTGGAGGCTGTCCTGGCACCACTGCCTGGACAGCTTTTTAAAGTTAAGTTTTCTACCATGGGACTGGATCTACATGGGTATTTTAAAAGTTTCGACTGCTATTAAATTTAGGAGTTAGGAATTATAAGAAACATTCAATACTTAAACTTATGCCTGAATTCTGATCTTATATTAAGAAAATAAAGAAAAGCGGGGCAGTGGTGGCACGCACCTTTAATCTAGACACTCAGGAGGCAGAGGTTAAGTGGATCTCTGGTCTACAGAGTAAGTTCCAGAACAACCTACAAAGCTACAGAGAAACCCTGTTTCGAAAAAAAGAAAAGAAAAGAAAAAAAGCCAGAATTTAGCACAACAACAATAAACACCAAATTTAAGAGGAAACACTGAGCTGGGCGGTGGTGGCGTACACCTTTAATCCCAGCACTTAGGAGGCAGCGGCAGGCAGATCTCTGTGAGATCGAGACCAGCCTGGCCTACAAGAGCTAGTTCCTGGCTGTCCTGAAGTTTACTCTGTAGACCAGGATGGCCTTGAACTCAAGAGATCTGTCAGCCTCTGCCTCTGAGTGCTGGGATTAGGATTAAAGGTATGCATCACCATTGCCTGGCTGAATTTACTTTTTTTCTTGTTTGTTTTTCTGGACAAAGTTTCACTATGTAACAGCTTTGGCTGTCCTAGAACTCGCACTGTAGACCTTCAGAATGGCCTCAAACTCACAGAGATCCACCTGCCTCAGCCTCCCAAATGCTGGGATCAAAGGTGTGCACCACCAATGACTGTCTTGAATTTACTCTTAATGTGTTCTTCTTATCCATTTCTATGGCAAGATTATAGATATTATGATAGTAAATTAATCTTGATCATCTACTTGACTGGTTTAAGTACCTAGGAGAGTTAAACATTCTGGGTGTCTATGAGGGCATCTCTAGACATGCTTAGATTGTAAGAGCTATGACATAATGAACATCCCTTTGATTCATCCTTTGATGACTCACAATATAATTATTGGCAGGTAACAAAATTCGAGAGGTGGGATCACTAAGAGGAAGTAGGTTGTGGGAGATACCCTGGGGTTATAAGTATTGCCTGGACTATTCCTATTTCCCATCTCCCATGAAGAAGCTCTGCCACACGCTCCTGATATACACAAGGCTAAGCAACTATGAACTGAGATCTCTAAAACTTTAGTCAAAATTACTTCCTTTGTTTTCTCAGGTATTTGTACAGTGATAATGAGAGTACTATAAGTATCTCAACATGATTTTTAGTCACATTCATTGTTGTAAAGTAATACTGAGTACAAAAAATCTATTATTTTAATCATTTTTGAGTGAACAGTTCTGTGGTATTACATACAATTCCCATTGTGCAACTATCATCATTATCCATCTCTAGAACTCTCTTCATAATGCTGAGATTCTAATCACTAAACAAAAAAAATTTACCTCTGAATTTTAAACTTTTATAATCTTTCCTATTTTATTTACTAGTTTTTAAGTTAGTATACAAGGTGGGTGATGGCGGTGCATGCTTTTAATCCCAGCACTCGAGGGCACAGGCAGGCGGATCTCTACTAGTTTGAAGCCAGCCTGGTCTATACAGCGAGTTCCAGGACAGTTAGGGCTACACAGAGAAACTCTATCTTGGTGGGGGTAAAGTTAATATACAAAGTAATGGGCTGCTGCTGCTTTCTCCTTCTCCTTGTTTTTTCAAAACAGGGTCTCACTATGCAGCTCTGGCTCACTGGCCTCTCAACTCAGATATACACCTGACTCTCTGGCTTCCAAGTGCTGGAATTAAAGGCGTGTGCCACTATACACCTGACAGTAACAGGTTTCATTATGGTAATTCCATACATACTTTTTATATCCCTCTTCTGACCCCTATCATCTTGCTCCCCCATCCCCACCCGTTAGTCCCCTCTGTTTACATGTTACATACACTCTATTACTCTCTCCCTCCCCATCTTGAGATCTCTTCCTCTCCTCTCATGGACTCTTTCTAGTTTCAGAACCTAAGGCCACACCTGCCTCTATAATTAAAAATTAATATTTAGAATATGCATATAAGAGAAAGTATGTAGTATTTGTTAGAGTGGCTTATTTTACATAATACAATCATTTCCAGATTCACGCACTTTCTTATTAGTACCATGACTTCATTTTTTTCATGGCTGAACAAAATTCCACCATTCTTTTATCCATCATCTGATTCCAGTTCTTAGCTATTATGATTACTGTACCAGTGAACAGAAATGGGTAAATATCTTAGTCAAAAGGACTTAAAAATATACCCAAAAGTGGTATTGCTGTATTGTGGAATAATCTTTTTGTGAAGATGTGTCACTCTGATTGGTTTAATTAAAATCTGAATGGCAGTATTTACAGGCACAGAGGACACTGAGAAGAAGAGAAGAGATGCCAGGAACACAGAGTAAGCAGCTACCAGTCAAGATTTCATAATTAATCATAAGTCTCTCTCTGTGTGGTTACTTGGGAGCTGGTGGGCAAAACAGAAAAATCCACCTACATTGCTTGGCCATATACTAGGGTTTTGTGTTGTTGATGTTGTTACTAAATTTTGTGTGTGTGTGTGTGTGTGTGTGTGTGTGTGTGTGTGTGTGTGTGCCCATGATACACAAGTTTATAGAGTTTCTACTTTCATCTTTACATGGTTTCTAGGGATTGAACTCAGGTCATTAGTCTGTGCAGCAAGAGTCTTCACCAGGTGAACCATCTTGCCAGCCCATATGGTAGTCCCATTTTTATGTTCCGAAGAAACCTCCATATTGATTTCTATAGTGTATGTGCCAATGTACTCCTGCCAGCAGTGATAATCAATTCTATACTAAATCATCATCATATGTATGTATATATATATATATATACACACACACCCATATATAAACATGTGTATTTATACGTTAAAATATTGTTCTGCCTCCCTAATTATAAAACTGAGGGGTTCTTAATGCCTTGTGTGGGGATTAAACCCAAGGCACAAATAGGAGCCAGGTACTCCACCTATAAGCCACACTCCAACCATTAGTATTGCTCTTAATTGTTTATTAGAACAAAAGTAATAGTCACCCTTTAATTGTACTTTTAAAAGAAACAAACAAACAAACAAACAGTTTCTGGTAGCTAGGAAGATGGCTCAGTTACTAAAGTGTGTGCTATACATGGTTGGGCCTGGTAATGTGTACCTATAATACTAGTGCTGGGGAGATAGAAACAAATGGATTCCTAGAGTACGATGGTTAGCAGACCTAACTGAATCCATAAGCTACAGGTTTCAGTGAGAGACCGTGTTTCAAAAGGCAAAGAGCCATCAAGAAGATATCTGGTGACAAATGTGAATATATACGGGCATGTACAACACACACACACACACACACACACACACACACACACACACACACACACACACACACACACACACACACACCTCTCTGGGAGTGGCATGCATGCCTGTAAAACCACTTAGAGGTAGAAGCATGGGGAGTGCAGCAAGTTAGAATCTGGCTTGGATTACATAAAGAATACTAGTAAGCCAGCACTGGATGTTGGGGAAGTCCTGTTATTTGCCTGTTATTTGTCAATAAAGTACTGTTGAGCCTATAGGAATCTAGATAGGTGGGGCTAGGAGTCCAGGAGGATTCTGGGAAGGAGAAACACAAGAGAGTCGAGATGTAACGCCATTGGGGTAGGAAGCCCGGAAACCTCTCCAGTAAGAGACATACTTAGATTAACAATTATGGGGTAATTACTTAAGTCAGAGCTAGCCAGTAAGAAACAAGCAAGGCCAACAGCTTCATAATTAATATAGCCTCCTGTGTGTTTATTTGGGACTGATGCAGATCTAGAACCAGGCGGGCGGAAGGCCCCTATCAAAAGAAAAAGCTTCTTTTAACAGATTACATAAAGAATACTAGTAAGCCAGCACTGGAGGTTGAGGCAGGGGGATCTCTGAGTTTGAGGTCAACCTGGTCTAAAGAGCTAATTCTAGGACAGCCAAGGCCACACAGGGAAACCCTGTCTAGAAAAACCAAAATAAACAAAAGCAAAGAAGCCCTAATAAATGTAACAGCAGCTCTTACCTGGGAAGAGGTCTGTACATCTCATAAACACCTCCCAGTAGATGAGTCCAAGTGCATACATGTCTACTTGCTTCAGAGCTGACTCACAGTCCCTCAGGTTCACAGCTCCTTCCAGTACTTCTGGTGCCATGTAGCGAATTGTGCCAACCTGGCAAATTAAGAGTGGTTTTGAAAGAAATAAAATGCAACATGTCCTGAAGGGCAAACATTAGACCAAAAATCATACGTAAAATTTACTCCTGTTAATGATACTATCCATCCCTAAGCAGGTCACTGAGCTCTTTGTACAATGTACTTTAGAAATCTTTCCCTTCTTGATAATTAAATGGTATTATATCTGCTTTAGTAAAAACTACTCATTAATGAAATAATAAAGTAAATGTTCATATGCCAACTTTTTAAAATATGGCTGGACTGTGGTGGTGCACGCCTTTCATTCTAGCACTGGGGAGGCAGAGGTAGGCCAATCTCTGTGATTCAAAGCCAACCTGGTCTACAGAGCTAGTTCCAGGACAGCCAGGGTTACACAGAGAACTATCTTGAAAAACCAAAACCAAACAAACAAACAAATAAAATCCATGAAGCTGCAGGCTGTTCGGTAGTTAACTGTCTAACGCATTGCCCACCTTTGCAGTATAGCTAATAATGCAAAATAAAAACTATTAAATGTGGTGATAAAATTGTGAAGCAAATGTATATCACTGAATATTTTTAAAAATTACAAATCTGCACATATATCTATGTATGTGAAAGCAGAGAGAAGACTCAGAAGCGCTATGTTGACATTGTAACCACACAGCAGAGTTTCCTATATCAAACTTGGTAACCTTACTTGTGCTTCAAAAATCAATTCCTGCCTGGGTCTGGCAGCACTTGCCTGAAATCCCAGCCCTCAGAGGACAATGGTCAACTCTAGACAAAATTGAGCTATATAAAGAGAATGTCTCAAGAAGACAGACAAACTAAAACACAAACCAAGGAAACAAAACCCAACAAATCTAGTAAGTTCCCTTTTATAACAAACAACAACAACAAAAAAATCAATTCCTAGACATTTGTCCCTAATGTCTGCTCAAATGAGATGGACTTTTCAAAGTCAACTCATCAACTTTACATGGGTCTTTATACAATGTATTTGGTGTTTCCTAATTTCTGACTCCTAAAAGTCTGTAGCTAACAGTACCTGGGATAGCTGTTGTGAATGTTACGATTTCGCAGTATGGCAGTGTGATGCTTATAGACTCACCTCACTTATAGCCGCATTATCTTCTTCCCCTGGGCGCACCAGTCTATTTCCAGTTAGCCTCATGGACAAACCAAAGTCACTAATAACACATGTGCCATCATTTTTTACCAGGACGTTTCTGCTGTTTAAATCTCGATGGGAAATTGCAGGTTTATAATGATCTGTTTGGATAATTTCAAATACTTGTTAATGCTTAAATAGAACTATTGGAGATTAAGTTAATATGCAGATAATGGGAGCTAGATATATGTAAATAAAAAAGTGCTATTTTCTACCCACTAGTGATCTAAAAAGTGAGGGTGGGAGAAAAAAGTTGTTTGTCAAGGAACATGCCTGAAATCCTAGCTCTTGGAACGCAGAGGCAGGAAGATCAAGAGTTTGGGACTAAAAAGGGTTACACAGCAAGACTTTAACTCAACCCAAACCAGAACACCACAATTTCAACTTATTACTACTTTCTAATAACTCCTCTTACATACATAGTTAATCAAGCACTGAACATTCAACTGACTGTAATAATAAACATAGTTCTAATTGTGGTACAAACTTGTTTTTTCTTTTCATTTCTTTCTTTTGTTTTGTTTCCATTGTTGTGGTCAGTTAGTAGGTTGGCTGGTTTTTTACATCATGTATATCAGCTGGTCTCCATGTAGCTATCACTCATCATCAAGGAAGCTTCTTTTTGCAGCAGATGAAGACCATTACAGAAAGCCACAACTAGTCAAACATGGAGAATGCCCCACCATGAAGAGCCTAGCTCCAACTGATACAAGTACAACACAACACCTACAACTAAGACTCAAAACACCATGAGTCAGAGGAGCAGGACACCTGGTAAGAGACTACCTTCTATAAGGGACAGGTAAGATGAAATCCCAACAATATGACAGCCTAAAAAAGACCTGAACAATGATGACACCAGTGATATGCCAACAAAAATGGGGGAAATCTCACATAGCTTCACTCTAGATAAAGAGCCATAGGTAATTAATGATTGCTGAGAGAGGAGAATCATTCTCCCACAGAAACATTCCCCTAACTGGTTATCTAATACCAAGTCAGCCCTAAAAACCATATACATATGAGCAACACTAAATGGATTCAGCAGATGTATTACTTTTTATTTATTAGTGTTTTTTTCAACATAGGGTCTCACTGTGTAGCTTTGGCTGTCCTGGAACTTACTGTGTTGGCTGGCCTTGAATTCACAGAGATTTACCTGCTTTTGCCTCCTATGTACCAGGATTAAAAGCAAGAGTCACTGTTTGAGAAAAATAGCTTTGTTTAAGTGAAAAATTTCAGGCAGTGTTTGGCTTAAAACATTGCTGAATTTCACAAACCTTGAAAGGGGAATGAGGATATTTTAAATTATGCTTTAAGGCAGCTTCTAAAAGGGGTTATAATATTTAAAAGTAAGGAAACAATGTCCAATGGCTAATGAGCCAAAACACTGAAGCAAGAGCATCAAGTGCTGACACTGGCAATAACAGGTCAATCTTGTACCCAGGGAAAGATGTCAAGTAGATGAGCCAATAAATAATTCAGAGGAAATTATTTATATATGAAGCATCAGCTAGAAAAGATGATCCATGATATTACATAATGGAACAAAGATCTAAGAAATGGATACATTACAGTCTCCTCACTAAAGAGGTCAGAGAAACTACAGGAACAGTGACAGGTTACAGCATGACAAAATATGGTACAGGGAATAAAAACTTGAGAAACCATGGAGACACAATTTTTACAGTCATGTTAATTTAGGGGTGCCTGTTATGTGAGTATATATTGAAACAAAGTAAGAAAGCAAATTATTTAAAAGAGGTGCTTGGGACAACTAGTAAAAGAATGTATGAAAGCTAAAGAAGACAAGTTATAACAGGGAATATAATACAGTTCCAAAATATTGGCCAAGACTGCCTTCCATTCCTATTGAATAACAGAATCCAACATTGTCTGAACAGCAATTTACTCAACAAAAACAAAAACAGAACAAGTATATTTTTGGTCTCAAGTGGGTAAGCATGGATTAGTTCTAAAAAAAAAAAAAGTACATGAGAGGAACTTCTGAAGGTGAAAGTGGACAACTCCCTTTACCCCTTTTTTTTCCCTTACTACCTAGAATATAGCACAATGGACAATGAAATAACTATGAAAATAAAAGCCACATGCAAAGGACGGTACAGAAACAATATAGAGCCTTGTGTCTAATATCATGCTGCTAATCCAGTATGTGACTCTCTCCCTTTAGGTTCTGGTTTTATTGCTGGGGATTGAACCGAAGGGCTTCATGCACACTAGTCAAGTGCTCTGCACTCCACAACTGGCCTATAATCTCAGTCTTCTCGTCAGTTGTTTCCTCATCCCCCTCTTTTTTTTTTTTTTTTTTTTTTTTTTGGTTATTTTGAGACAGGGTTTCTCTATGTAACAGCCCTGGCTGTCCTGGAACTCGATTTGTAGACCAAGCTGGTCTTGAACTCCTAGAGATCCATCTGCTTCTGCCTCCTGAGTGCTGGGATTAAAGGCATGCACCACCACCAGCCAGCCATCCACCTCCTTTTAAAGACAGCTCTCACTATGTAGTCAAGAGTGACTTAGAATCACTACGTATTCCAGGTTGGCCTTCAACTCACAATTCTCCTGTTTCAACCTGAGTATGAGTATTATAATTAGTATATGCCATCTTTTTTGGCCTCTCTTTAGATTTTTTTAAAACAGGGTCTCACTATATGACCCTGGTTGGCCTGGACCTTGTTATGTAGACTTAGGCTAGCCTCAAACTCAGATCCACCAGCCTCTGCCTCATGATTGTTGGGATTCTTATATGTATATGAGAAAGAAAAAGTTTCTTTATTAACAAAGCCACTGTTATCTCTTCTCCCCCCTGGCTCTAGTTAGCAGAATATTAATTTATGAAAAGATACTTGAGTATTACAGCTTATGAAATACAATCAATGTAATATTAAAATGAACACACTGTAATTTATTCACATAAATAAAACAAATACAAGGAAAATCTAGCCAAGTTAAGAATATTAACCTAAGGTTCACAAATAAACTTCAAGAGGTCTGAAAAATCTCTAGGATTTTCCTTGTCTGATATTATGATATTAGGGATCAAATGTAGGGCCTTACACATACTAAGGAAGCATTCTATCACTGAGATACACTCCATCTCAAATAATTAAAAAAAATAGCTAAGTGTACATTTTTAGAATGAAAGACTTCAAATTCTTCTTTTGGGGGGAGCAGTGGGGTTTTGAGACAGGGTTTCTTTGTGGCTTTGGAGGTTGTCCTGGAACTAGCTCTTGTAGACCAGGCTGGTCTCGAACTCACAGAGATCCACCTGCCTCTGCCTCCTGAGTGCTGACATTAAAGGCATGCACCACCACTGCCTGGCTGAAATTCTTAATGAGATCCATGCTTATTTTCTTCCTGTTACATTCAAATATGCTTCCTTATAATAGAGCTTCTAAATAACTGGTTAATAGTCAGATTTTAACAATAGAAATTAAGGTTTTTCTTCTAAAATAGGACTAAAATTTAATTCATCTTACCTCCTCGTGGTAATTCTGTGTGAAGATAAGCCAATCCTCTAGTCACAGAATGAGCCAGACGGCAAGAGCTTACCCAATCACTTGTATGTAGACTCAAATATTTGCATAGCGATCCCTATATAATGGAAAAAGTATACCAAAAAATGAAATTAATGTGCTCCAACAATAGGCAAGATAGGCAACCTTATGAAGGATTTGAATAGATTAGGATTCTATGACGATCCAATGATAATGATAAAGCATTTCTGAAAAGAAGAGAGAGGGTGTGCTGGCTAGTTTTATGTAAACTTTGACACAAGCTATAGTCCTACAGGAAGAGGAAACCTTAACTGAGAAAGTGCGCCCATATAATCAGGCTGCAGGCAAGCCTGTAGAGCATTTTTTAATTAGTGATTGATGTAGGAGGGCCCAGCCCATTGTGGGTGGGGTTATCTCTGGGCTGGTGATCTTCAGGTTTTATAAAAAAGCAGGATGATCACAAAACAAAACAAAGAAACAAGCCAACTTGCCTGCAGCCTGAATCAACTGCCTAGGAGAATACTAAGGGATGACTGTATGTATATACCTGTTCATCGCAAAGTATTCACCTACAAATTACAATGAAATTCTCATAAGGCAAAGAGCTTACACAAGAATGAACGTCAATCAAGGTACTGCTAAGTCTGATGAAAAAAGTCTGACAAAAGAAACAGAGAGAGAAAGTTAAAGAAGAGAGAAGAGGGAAATGTAAAAGAGTGGGCATAGGTGAGGAATGGAAAGAGTGAAGAAAAGAAGGCAAAGTGAGAAAAGAGAGATAATTAAAGAGAATTATTAGTGTTTTGTTGTTGTTTAATATAATGTCTTAGAATAATAGCCCAGGCTGGTCTTAATTCACAATCCTCCTGCCTGAGCCTTCTTTCTGGGTGCTAGAATTACAGGCATGTGCCATGATACATGGCTGAGTGATGTATTTGATTCAAATTTTGGCATAAGATCCTTATTTCACTGAAGAACACTAATAACAAGTTTATGAACTAGCAACAATCCTAAAAATCTGATCAATAGTACAATAAGTGACAATATATTTTTATGAAGAACTTACATTGGGATAATACTCCATCACAAGCAAATACTCCATACGTCCATCTGCTGTGAGTCTCTCATCTCCAACTATAAAGCGAGCAATGTTGTCATGTTCCATCAAAGGCACTCTGTAAATGTTTTTTTCATTTATAAAATTCTGACGGTTTGCAAAAGAAAATACTTTTACAGCAACTGGACGCTCATCCAAGGAACCTTTATATACTGCTCCATAGCGACCCCGTCCAATTAGCTGTAAATTTGTTTTTAAAAAGGCAAGGTATTAATTCATATTAAAACTGAACAATTAAATTTATTAAAACAAAAACAAACTATAATGCCCCACTATATGCAGCAGCTCTCTTCTGTTTTTAGTTTATTCTATTACCAAGAAGCAACTAATGTCTATGGATAGTATGACTGTTTCAATACATGACAGATAAGCACTCTGGACAGAATTTTAAAAGAAAAACCTAAATGCACTGAAAAATAAGCAAAAGCAGTCAAGAGTCTAAAAGGCATCAGGGCAAAGGGGAAAGGAATGCATATGGTGAGTTACCAGTGTCTAGGGTAAAATCAACTTTGAGCAGAGGAACTAAAATGGTACAAGAGGGTCTTTTGAACCAGAGGATATCATCTGTGGCAACTAGAACTTCTACAGAGTGAGGGAAGAAGTCTCTAAAGGAGAAAGCCAGAACAAGGGAATTCAGTGAACACATGGGACAGATTCCAGATAAATATAATAAATGAGCTGAGATTTGAGCTTCTGCCCAAGAGACATGTTTGTAATATGTGTCCAACCAAGTCAACTGCTTACAAAACAAACAACAAAAATCAACGTACAGAGCTGGAGACAGAGCACGTACTAATCTTGCAGAGGACCTAAGTTCGGTTCCCAGACTCCACCTCAGGTGGCTCACAGCTGCTTATAATCCCAGCTCAAGGAGACCCAACACCCTTTCCAGCATCCACAGGCACTGCACTCACATACACACACCCACATGCACAAGCTCCCTCACGCTCATGCGCACCCCCCACATACACACCCCCACACCCCCAAATACACACCCACACACGTATAATTAAAATAACTTTTTTAAAAACCAGCACACATTGGAAATTAGTAACAATCTGGGAGTTCCACAGTCAGTATCTAGAACAGAATAAAAATCTACTCAATGCAAAGACATGATAATAGCAAAATGTAACCAGTTCTCTTTATTTGGGCCTTCTGGAGAATTTTCACTAAAACAGGCTGGAAAGGGAAATCTATTGTCATTTCCTCCTTCACATTTATTGTATCATTATTTTATTCATATTTTTGTTTTTTTTTTTTTTTGAGACAGGGTCTTACTATGTAGCTCTGGTTGTCATGAAACACCCTATGTGGTCCAGGCTAGCTTCAAACTCACAGAGATCTGTCTGACTCTGCCTCCTAAGCATTGGAATTAAAGGTGTGTACCACCATGCCCAGCCTTGTATCATTATTTGTAGTTAAAATTCAATATACAAAATAAACAGCCCTCTGAGAAAAGTAAGCAAAATATAGTTAAGCACATGCCTTTAGTTCCAGCACTCAGAAGGAAGAAGCAGGCAGGCCTCAAACTCTATTTTGAGTTCAAGGCCAGCCTGGTCTATATTGCAAGTTCCAGGACAGTCAGAGAGCTACAGAAAGACCCTGTCTCAAAATTAACATTTTACTTATATATATAAATAAAATCCTGGGCAAGTTGGTACTTCTCCCAATGTTAGAAACTGCACATAATTTAGACCTTAGACCTTCTCCTCTACTTTTTTCTCACCCTGGTTTTTTGAGATAGTGTTTCTTTGTGTAGTCCTAGTTGTCCTCAACTTGCTCTGTACATCAGGCTGACCCAGCACTCATAGAGGCCAACCTGCCTCTGCCTCCTGAGCTGGAATTAAAGGTGTGCACCACCATGCCCAGCTAACTGTATGATTTCACGAGCAGTTTATATTTCTCTGCCTCCATCCTACCCATCTCCCCTCGCTACCCAGGGCTTTGAGCATGCTCCAAAACCACAGTATAACTGAACTACATCCTGGCCTCATTTTATCCTTTTCTTTTCTCGTTGAGATCAGGTCCTGATCTCTAGCCCAGGTGTGACTCAAATTTGAAATCCTCCTGGTGGGATTGTAGTGATGTATCACAATACCTAATTCAAATTTATCTTTTTTTTTCCGAGACAAGGTTTCTCTGTATATCTTTGGCTGTTCTGAAAGTTGCTCTGTAGACCAGGCTGGCCTCGAACTTACAGAGATCCACCTGCCTCTCTGCCTCCCAAGTGCTGAGATTAAAGGCTCGAGTCATCACCATGACCCAGGTCCTCCACTTTATTTTAAAATGGTCTCACTTTGTTGTCCTGGAACTTGCTACACAAACCAAGTTAGCCTGGCTGCAGAATTGCAGGTGTGCATCACCATGCCTCAAAAGACTTCTAGTTAACTAGCTCCTGAGATACTGCCAGAAGAAACAATACGAATCAAGAAAGCAGGTAAAAACTGTGACAGCTAACAATCTAAGCACAACCTCACCTCCAGGAGCTTCAGATTATCCAAGTCCAGAGAAGGCTCTGATGCTGCTGCTTCCATCATGTTCATACTGTGAAGACCTTGTTTTCGGTCTCCTAGAAGAATAAGAAAACTTACTAAAATGTCACCTTTCTAATATTACAGGTAAGAAGAGCTGTAGCAGGGGTTAAAACAACTCACTAAAATGAAGAATAATGAACAGCATGAGAGCAGAATTCTGTGAGATAATTCCATGATGACTACTGAGTCATCATGAGTTAAAAGTATAAAGTCCAGGGGCTGGAAAGATGGCTCAGCAGTTAAGAGCACAGACTGCTCTTCCAGAGGACCTGAGTTCAATTTGCAGCAACCACATGGTAGTTCACAGCCATCTATAATGAAAATCTGGTGCCCTTTTCTAGTGTGCAAGCAGAACACTGCATATATAATACATAAATATTTTTTAAAAAATAAACAAGTGTAAAATCCTAATACCAAATTTTCAAGAAAATTTTAGAATTATTCAAATGAATGAATAAGTGCTGATTTCCTAAACAACCCACCACACCTAAAATTTATTAGAACTGACCAGATACCTGGTGAGAAATTACTGGCTTTTTCATTAAAGAAAAAATAGCATTATGATTACACAGGTTTTCGTCATTATATCACAGAGATAATGCTAAGGTACTTACAGATCTGTGGTATCTGTGTTTTGATTAAAAGAATTCAGTGGTATGAAAGAATTCAGTGAGTGGGGATTTAGAGTTAAGCAATATTGCCTGTGACTAATGACTGCTGCAGTTGGGTGACACATTTTGGGTAGGTTTAGAATTTCTTCTTGGGGCTGAAGAGATGGCTCAGCCGTTAAGAGAGCTTGCTGCTCTTTCAAAGGGGTTTACATTAGGTGGCTCACAACCACTTGTAACTCTAGCTCTAAGAGATGCAATGCCATTGTTTGGCCTTCTCAGGGAACACACATGTCATGACCTACAGAGACACACACAGACACATGAAAATAAAATTTTAAAAAGCTTCTTGAGCCGGGCGTTGGTGGCGCACGCCTTTAATCCCAGCACTGGGGAGGCAGAGGCAGGCGGATCTCTGTGAGTTCGAGGCCAGCCTGGTCTACAAGAGCTAGTTCCAGGACAGCCTCCAAAGCCACAGAGAAATCCTGTCTCAAAAAAAATCAAACCACACCAAAACAACACAAATAAAACAAACAAAACAAACAAGAAAATGTCTTGTAAAAAATGGGGAGGGGGTGCTTGTTGAAGCTATGAATGGGAGCTACTATAGCACAGAGTTTTTGTTTATATAAACATTTTCCACAGAGATTTTAAAACAAAAACAGGGTTGGCAAGATGGTTCAGCTGGTAAAGGTGCTTGCAACCAAGCCTGATGACCTGAGTTTGGTCCCTAGAACCCACATGGTCAAAGAAGAGAACCAACTCCTGCAAGGTGTCCTTTGATCTCCATACACGAATGATGCCCACCATTACACACAATAAATAAGCAAACAAACAAATGTAAAAGAAATTTTTAAAGAAAATAAATACTGATTAAATGGCATGTTTACTAAATGAGACAAAAAGAAGTACTTTTTTTTTTACCTGTCAGCATTCTGTATCCAAAACATAAGGCAACTATCAAAACAGCTAATACAGAGACTGATGCCAAAGCAATGATTATTGTCTCATCTCGATTAAATGAATGAGGTGGACCTAAAAGAAAACAGAAAAGCATTTTATTTAATACTGACAAAATAGCCTTTAGGAAGGTTTTATTAATGTATAATCAAATCAGTAATATTTTTCATGAAAAGAAATTACAGAAAAATTAATCTGTGATAGTTATATGACATGTTTTGATCACATAAGATTATCTTATATCAACTTAAAATACTTGTCGGGTATGGTCCTAATTATTAAAATTACAACGAGGCACTAAAAGATGGCTCACTGATTAAGAGTATATACTGCCCTCTCAGAGTCCGAGCACCCACATCACACAGTTCATAACCACCTGTAACTCCAGCTCCGTATGATCTGACACCTTCTCTGGCTTCTGAGTATCTGCATTCATACACACATATCCTGCCCCCGAAATTCATACTCAATTAAAAACATAAAATAGCAACCATATCACAGAACAAGACAATAATATATTTAATCATTCAGAACTTTGGATTATTATTATTATTTTAAGGAGGGGATTTTGCCATGTAGCTGGTTTCATGGTTTGAATGAAAATGGCCCTCACAGGATCACATGTTTGAATACCAAGCAACTACTTGGAAGGATTAGGAGGTATGGCCTTGTTGGAGGACATGTGTCACTGAGGAGGGGCTCTGGGAGGCTCTCGATCACAACTATAGAAAAATAAGTCCATAGCTGAGGCTGACCTTGAATTCATGGCAATCCTCCTGCTTCTGCCTCCTAAATGATGGGACTAAGGTGTGCACCACTGAGCCCAGCTTCATATGTTGCTTTAAAATGTGGCTTTAGGTCATGTGTTCAGTAGGCTTCATCAGGTTGCTTGACGTTTGTGTGCACTGTTTCCTCATTTGTAAAAAGTACCCCATAACTCACAATCAGTTATGAAGACTGGAGTCTAAGCACTGAGTTCTATGCAACCAGTCGGGTGGTGGTGGTGGTGATGGTGGTGGTGGTGGTGGTGGTGGTGGTGGTGGTGGTGGTGGTGGTGGTGGTGGTGGTGGTGGTGGTGCACACCTTTAATGCCAGCACTCGGGAGGCAGAAGCAGGTGGATCTCTGTGAGTTCAAGACCAGCCTGGTCTACAGGCTTTCCAGGACAGCCTCCAAAGCCACAGAGAAACCCTGTCTCCAAAAGCAAACAAACAAACAAACAACAACAACAAAAAGGTTCTATGCAACCAATGGTAATTAAGATCATTAGTATTGATATCATTAATATTAATGAAAAGGACATTTCTTTGTGGGCAGCTAAATCTAAACTGAACCTTCAGTTCCTCCACTTACTAACCTGACCTTGAGAAAAATTCTTTCAACCGAACCCACGTTTATCTACTTGCAGAATGGAAACAAATGTAACTAAATTACAAGGCCATTAAGAACATGTAAACATGTATTTGATGGTTCCATCTTATGGGACAGATCTTATCTAAAGTAAATACCCTTTGGGATGGATGTCCACAAACTAGAATATACCTATAGGGAATGGTAGAAGAATGAGGATACAGTAACTCTATGAAGAGTAGAAACAAATTAAAGTGTCTTACACAGACAAAGAGAAAACTGAAGGATATATTTGTCAGCATGTTTTAAACAGTAATAAGGAATAACGAGATCCAAGTAGTGTATATTCAAGACAGCAGTCTTAACAGAATACAAAACAACTGCTTCAAAGTAAGCAGTCTAATGTAGAATGAGATTTTCATAGGGAATCTCAAATATTTCCTACGAAATATTTGTTGTTTTGCTATATGTTTTACATGTAGTTTGACAAGTTGCAAAGCTACAACTATCTATACTTAATCATTTTTAACATTCTATCAGAATAAAATATACTGTAATTTGAATTTTTAAATTATCGTCATTTGCTTGCTCCTTGTTTTTTTGGGAGAGGGTCTCATTGTGTCAAACTCGCTTTGTAAACCAGGCTGGCTCTGAACTCACAAAGATCCCCCTGTCTGAGCATGCACCATCTTGATTGGCAATTTTTTCATTCTTTATAGTGAATTAAAATCAAGCATACTTATATTAAAATTTTCTTACTTATGTTCAAACTATAACTTTCTATAGCAAATAAGAAACCTCAATGGCAATGTTTCTTCAATGAATTTATCTCAAATTTTGCACAGTTGTACAAATAAAATGTCAAAACCAGTACTTCTTTGTTTTGTTTTTCAAGACAGGGTTTCTCTGTATTGTTTTGGAAGCTGTCCTGGAACTCTCTCTGTAGACAAGGCTGGCCTGGAACTCACAGAGATCTGCCTGCCTCTGCCTCCCGAATGCTGGGATTAGAGGTGTTCGCCACCAACGCCCAACCAAACCCAGTATTTCTATAGAAGAATATGTTATTGCAGTGAAACACCATTAAGTTATAAGATAATTACTAGGTACTAGCCAGGTGGTGGTGGCACACACCTTTAATCCCAGCACTCAGGAGGCAGAGGCAAGAAGTTTGAGGGCACTCTGATCTACAAAGCAAGTTCCAGGGCAGCCAGGGTTGTTACACAGAGAAACCTTATCTCAGGAAGGAAGAAGGAAGGAAGGAAGGAAGGAAGGAAGGAAGGAAGGAAGGAAGGAAGGAAGGAAGGAAGGAAGGAAGGAAGGAAGGAAGGAAGGAAGGAAGGAAGGAGGGAAGGAAGGAGGGAAGGAAGGGAAGGAAGGGAAGGAAGGAAGGTAAGGAAGGAAGGAAGGAAGGAAGGAAGGAGGGAAGGAGGGAAGGAGGGAAGGAAGGGAAGGAAGGAAGGGAAGGAAGGAAGGAAAGTAAGGAAGGTAAGGAAGGAAGGAAGGAAGGAAGGAAGGAAGGTAAGGAAGGAAGGAAGGAAGGAAGGAAGGAAGGAAGGTAAGGAAGGAAGGTAAGGAAGGAAGGTAAGGAAGGAAGGAAGGAAGGAAGGTAAGGAAGGAAGGTAAGGAAGGAAGGAAGGAAGGAAGGTAAGGAAGGAAGGTAAGGAAGGAAGGTAAGGAAGGAAGGTAAGGAAGGAAGGTAAGGAAGGAAGGTAAGGAAGGAAGGTAAGGAAGGTAAGGAAGGCAGACAAAAACAAAACACAATTATTAGATACTAATAGACTTTAACACATTGATAACTGTAGTTAACACCTTCAACATATATTAATTTATAGATGGAAAGATTATATAGAAACTCATATTTGGCTAGGAATCTAAGTGGTAGAGTGTTTGCCTTATAATGTGCAAGGTTCTGGATTTGCTCTCCAATACCACAGAAAAAGAAAAAGCCAACCAACCCCTGCCCACCTCCAAACAACTAAGCGCAACCTCAATATACACTAAAGTTACTAGCGTGGTTATAATGCTTTTTAAAGATTAAGCAGGAAGAAGAAAATAAAAAGTATTGAGGGGGATAGGGATGGGGGGACCAGGAGGAGAGTTATTTAAATTTTAAAAAGTATAGAGAAATGAAAACTTACACTCTGCTGATGGGAATACTAAATGGTACAGATGTAGAAAACAATTTAGTAGGTTCTCAAAATGTTATCAGAATTTTCATAAAATTCAGTAGTTTATTCCTAGGCATACACACTAAGAACTAAAAACTAGGCATGTAAACAAAAACATCTACAGAAACATCAACCACATCACTAGTCACCATAACTACAAACAGAAATACACACGTTCACACACTTGTAATCAACAAACAAAATATGGGACACCAAAAATATGTATTAAAGGCCACATATTTTATGATTCCATTGATATGAAATATCCAGAACAGGAAAATCCACAGAGACAAAAAGCAGGTTAGAAGTTGCTAGGCATGGAAAAATAGGGGAAGGGAGTTACTTCATACTAGATAAAGGATTCCCTGTGGAGTGATGAAAATGTTTTGGAACTACATAGAAATAATGGTTGTATAATATTGTAAAAGTTTCAAATAGTACACGTTTAACCTAATTCTTTCTTTTATAAAATTGTACACCCACCCAAAATAAACAACTCACTTAAAAATTTGTTAAACTTGGAGCTGGAGAGATGGCTCAGAGGTTAACAGCACCCACTGCTCAGCCAGTGGACCTGAGTTCAATTCCCAGCAACCACATGGTGGCTCACAACCATCCATAATGAGATCTTGTGTAGGAATACACTCAGGTAGAACACTGTATATATAATAAAATAAACCTTTTAAAAAAAGAATTTATTAAACTCAGCCAGGCAGTGATGGTGAGCACCTCTATTCTAGCACTTGTGAGGCAGAGGTAGGTGTATCTCTGTGAGTTCAAGGACAGCCTGGTCTATAAAGCAAGTTCCAGGACAGCCATGACTGCACAAAGAGAAACCCTGTCTCGAAAAACAACAACAACAAAAAAGAATTTGTTAAACTTAAAAGGGAAATCTTATTTCAACACACATACAATTAAATAAATTAAATATTTTAATTACAAGATATATAAGGTATATGTAACTATTTTAAGCGCCTACAAATTATCTTCTCTTATTGAGACTATCAAACACTAGGCTGGTAAGATGGCTCAGTGGGGAAAGGGGATTGCCATCAATCTTGAAGGCCTGAGTTTGATCCCCAGGACAGTCATGATGAAAGGAGAGAACCAATTCCCAAAATATGTCCTCTGATCTCTACACATGTACCAAGGCGCAGTACTCCATTTCACACACATGAACACTCACACACCCCCTAAAAAACAAAACTACTACAGTACATTTCCCTGTTCATGGAGATATATTACAGGAGGTTTGGTGGATGCTTGTGATAGCACTGAACCCTATAGAATTGCTTCTCCTAACTTGTGGATTCCAGATTTGTATATACAACTAAGTATGAACTAAAATTACATGGAGAAATCCAGAAAATTTCAAAACACAAAACGTCAATCTGTCACGCACTAACTACCATGAATCCACATGAAGGAGGTTATGTTTAAGATGACCAGCTGCAACTCCTGTCATTCCACAAACCTTCAGTCTCTCTCTCCAGGTCTCATTTTTATAATACAATTAGACCTATGATGATTTGTTTGAATTGCATGTGTGCAGGCTTTTT